AAATTTGTACATGTATATATGTTACTCACTATTTTATAGTAACGTATTTTATATTGGATATTTTATGTATACGGTTTTTAATAGGGTCTTCAAAGGCATTGCCTACTACCGTAAGTATACTGAACTACATCAATAGCTGCTAGTTTAACCATTGATGTTCTTCTTTACTTTCGTTGGCGTAAGCAGCTCATTTTGTTTTATGCGCGGTTATCTGGCTGGGCTTATCTTGACTTGATCTTAGCGTGGGGGATCTCATTATCAATCGTTCATGCTGGTTAGGGAGGTATGGCAAGTCGATCGTTTTTTGAGAAAATCCCTGCACACGTGAAAGCAACTGCAGCAGCAGATACATAAGCGTGGCGAGGCAGATGGGGAAAACAATGAATATATAAATATATTTAAGCAAAATACACGACTAAAGATAAATCGAAAGTAAAGAAAAGGTGAACTAAGTCCGGACAAAAATAACCCAGAATAAAATACAAGAAAAATGATGCTGAGGATGATGACGATAACAATTAAAGTCTCCGCCTCAGACATGTAACGACTTCACGTAGATTATCCAAACCCGTGAGTACTGCCCGTAGCGGTCCCTCTATGCTTTCCGCTCGCTGAGTTTTCGGGTCCAAGCTAAACAACCTATGCGGTTAAATATAAAGAAAAGAATGGCAATTCAGAATTCCTGAAAGATGAGAGCCATACCGCAAAAAAGCCCTCCTCCCCACAAACAAAGGAGAAGGATTTGTGGCTGTAAAAAACGGGGTTGGGAGCGTTTTTGTGGCCTTTGCAGGGAGGCGGAATAAGAATATCCTACATAATAATGATAACACTGCACTACATTTAGGGAAGAGTGCATATTGTAGTGGCATAACCATTAAGCGACCTTGTATTCCTTACCCATGCTTTCCTCGGACGCTGCGGGGACAGGCCGTGTCTCGCATGTCCACCACGCGTGCGCAAGAGACGATATTAAAACGCCTCGTTCAAAGTCGCCCTCTGTCTGGCTTACTGGTAAACCATTCCTCAAGGCCAGTGCACAAAGGAATTTACTGCAGCGTTGTTTACCCTCAGTCACTCCCAAAACCGGTGATCTACTGTTCGATTGTAGTTTTCCGGACCCGGTGATCTACTTGCCGGACTGCACCTCTGGACTCCGGCCCATTCATGGCTGGACTACACTTGTCTGAGAGTCACTCACCTATGACCCATATTCTACTCCTGTTACACCTCATTAAATTATCCCTACCACTCTGGCCTTCCATGCCTTAAATTATCAACTAGTTCATAACCATTGAGATATGTTCTATCGAATATTATCTGGCCAGACTACTTCGTATCCCACAACCCTTACCGTAATCTCAAGTCTGGCTTATGTCAACCATAATAACAACCTTAATCCCCTTAATGCCCGAGCCAGCAGCGGCAGTGAGGAAGAAGGAAGCTTATTCCCAGGTTGCAACTCACCCGACGGCTACTGGCCATATTTTTAAGTTTACCCAAGCCGAAATCCTCGCGAGAAGTGACAATCTCGTGAGCCGCGGGCTACTCGAGCCATGGTTCTTAGGCCCACAGTCCATCAACGATTTGCCGTTCCCATACTGCGTACTGACACATTGCTTGAGAAGGAGAAGCCGCCACATCGGAAGGGCCGAGCCGAGCAACAACTCTGACGACAGCGAGTATTATTTTGGCGCAATTATCAAGCCTGCATCCGACACGGACGACCAAATCGCGGCAATTAACGAGTCGAAAGCGAAGTATCAAGCCATCACCGCACCACTTAAGACCTCGAGCGGTGACTACGGAAGGCGGACGGATAACTATAGTACGCACGTGGATGACCACCACAAATTATATATACAGCACAATCTCTGCATGTATTGCACAATTCTGCGGTCACCTATGGTTAAGGTTTCTCAACAGAATACGAGACCTCAGGAGAATAAATTTATTGTTCCAGTGATCGTGTAGTCGTTTCCGCCGGCGATCTCGAACCTCTTTTAACCTCAAACGTTTTCGCGGTCTGAGCTTGAACCGGGGCTGGCTGATGATAGCAAATAACCCACAAACCAACCATTACTGGTATGACGCCTTCCAACTACCGACCAATCGTTATCCTGGGTCAGTCTCTAAGAGTTCTTAAACGAACATGCTAAACAAAACATACCGCCAATAGTTTAATAAGGGCTACTTCTAAGTCCCTTTGACTTTTTTCGGGCACAGTCACCAGAGGAAAAATCTCATGGATCAGAGAGATCGTCAGAAAATAAATTGCAAACTTACGATGGCGTTCTAGACGGCTTATGGCTTTTGTGCGACGAGGACTTCTGGGTTCGGCAGCATGGAAACTTCCGATGGTGCATGCGAAACCGGCTGTCGTCGTTCTTGTCGTCGTTATGGAATTCATCGTATTCTACGTCACAGTAAGCACACTTATCTTCTTCACAGATTTGGCAGATGTCGACAGCTGCCACATGGTGGTGGCCTTTCTTCAGGGCAGGGGAGGCCGAATTCATGCGATCGATAACGGCGCGGTCGAGCTTGGTAGTATTGAAGTCCGGTCGTCCCGGTTGGGAGTAGATGCCGGTGGTCTGGTTGTCTGTGTCATAAAGATCCGACGAACTCTGTCTTCTAAACCGCTTATACAAGCAGAAAATAAAAGATGCTAGGGTGAGGTGGGATGTGACGTTAAGTGTTATTCACTAAAGTAAGCTGATCCAAAATATGTAAAATAATGAGAATATCGTTTTTAAGAACAGGAGCAAAAGGCCCTTCGCTTACTGAACTAACGGCTTTATTCCCCGAAGTTTTCAGATGTTACTGGGATGAAGCCGCAGCGTTACAATAACAAGAAACAAGCAGAAGTCGTAGGAGGGCAGAGACCACTCAAATGTCAGTGACGCCAGTCCGGAAATGACGGCGCAGGGCTTTGTATGCCGGCGCCAGATCGATAATTCGGTTGACTGAGACCCCATCGGAGACCCGGACTTCAGTCGATTCGCGGTTTCGTTTTGCTCATAGTGCGGGGATTTTCTTCATAAGTCTGTGACCCGTTTCGTAGGTGTGGGCAGTCACTTGCGACAATTCTTCACTCC